CCCCCCCCCCCGTGTCACGTATATCCGCGGAGGCGCGTAATCGCGCGAGGCACGACCCCGGGGCCTCGGGGACGAGCCGCGAAGGTCCTGCCGGACTTCTTCAATGACGTCGCGCGACAGGAATCCTCCCGATGCGATAATCTACCGCGTGCCTCGCCGCTTGGTAACCCACCGCGGCGCGGTAACTACCTGTACGGCATTCTGTCGAACGTCTGACTATGCCAATACGGCATAAACATCCACCTAGTTGTAAAAATGGCAGTTCAGATTAAATCTCCGACGTATTCATCGCGAGAGTCCGCAAGCCACGTCAGAATTGTAATATTCTAGATGTCTAACGTAAGATTCTAAAGACAGACAGGATTTGTAGAGATACATCCTAATTGCTCTTCCTTTCTTATTCAATTTCTTGACGATTTTTCTCCTATTTTTTTACCTCTTAATTTTGTCCTCAGATGATCAGCGCGACTTTGACAAAACAAAAAGATCAGAAACGCGATGCAAGATGTGAGGAAAATGGTTTCGCACATAACGGTGTATACTCGCTCGAAGGCCAATCAAATTCACAAAATTGTCGCGCGATTACCTCAACGGCAACGCGGAGAAAAATCAGCTGCGACGACTGGGATTTCTCTCTTGATGACTTCCGGGTGGTAAAAGTCGAGGTCGAAGAAATTCATCGTCGCCAAGAAATCTATGGACTTTTTATAAAGGAGTACTATTTTACTTCTTATTACAAGGCACACGTAACGTTGATTAACGAACTCTCGTAACAATTGTTGCGTGAAATGCATTCAGGCTATTTCAAATACGATTTACTTGTTTCGTCTGCTAAAATTCAGAATAAATCAAAATAATCTGATAATAAGGACAATATCGGAGGAGCTCGGAGCACAGTTTCGCGCTTGAAAGTTTAAAAGACAATGCAATTATTTAATTCCCTGTTTTGTGTGTGTGTGTGTGTGTGTGTACGTGTATCGCGTTACCTTCAGATAACAAACTAAATAGATGTGTAACTATGCTTTGAAACTTGAAATTGTACAAATTCTTCACGTGCTGCGAGAAGAATGCGCCGACGCACTATACGGAGCGTGTGTTTTTGTGCCATTTATGTACAAGGAGCTCCTACAATTCCCTCGGAATTCTAAAGGAATCCATTTCGATGCGTAGCGAAGCGAAGTGAAGACGGAATATAGTGTAAACCGTTGTCGCGTTTTTCACAACAGGTTGCCTCCCAACGAAGCGATCCCACCGACGAAGGAATCCGCGGGTTTGTTCTCGCAGTTCGATCGCAGACGGCTGTAAATCGATCGATATCTCCTCGATGGCAGTCACTTGTCGCAGCGAAAGAACCACGCCCGCGGTTGTACACCCTCGGGCTTCGCCAAAGCGCCATAAAGCCGCTTACGTAAATGGTGGCAAAGATATATTACCACCGTGAAATACGGTCCTCGGTCGTTTCTGTCCTCTCACATAGACGTAATTATTATTTATTTATAAGTTGAACGTCTCGTGCGCTTTTTTACTCTCCAATATAATTTTGTAACGTGACTACCGTGTAATTGCCGAGGGTGCAGAGTATACCTGAAATGGACGTAGGCCTCGGCCCTTTCCTTTTATGCAAACAATGTCGCAAATATGTAAAAATTTAATGGAAGTACGACCGAATTTTCTCAAGCGTGATTTTTATTCATACTTTTTTTCTTCCTTCACCAATCAAACCCGCCATATCCGTGACTTCCTTTAGTACTCTTGATGGTCTTTTAATTACGGTTATTTAAATCTTGACCTTACGTATATCCTTATTTCTTTCCCGGCGAATTTTTATGTCTATCGTTGGACGCAGAGATCTAGGTGCGCTTATACTGTCACGTGGTTACAAAGTTTCTTACGAATCATGTGATTCAATTGTCCCGATCCTTTGGATCCGGTGGTGATGAAGAGACCAACTCGCAGACCAGAAGAAACTCACGAACGGCCGAAGGACGACAGACCATTTAATTAGAATAAACCAGTTTAATAAACACCTTCCTGTCGTTATTGTAATTAACTTCGATCTACCAGATTTCTTCAGTGAGCTCCAGCTGCGCGACGAAGCGCTCTCATTGAATGAGAAGCAGAAGAGTTAATAAATTACGAATAATTTGCGTGCGTGTAAATAAAAAATCTTATCGAATATGCAATATTGCCAGGCAAAACTGCACCGCGTTCATCTCCGTTGCTTCATGTTTCTTGTCCAAGTAACCGTGAATTCCTTGTTACGTCTCGACGTGACGCACCGCGCCGGATTTGGCGAAATGCACAGCCTCTTTAGTATAAGTGCCGCAGAAGTACCCCCGATCTCTTGCGCGAACGCAAAAGACAACGCTCACGCGTCATATCCCGGAGCCATCAAACGCGCAACTCGCACTTTTGTAAAAGGCCGTACGCCTACTACGACGCAAGTGTCTCCTTTTCAAGTGACCGCTGCCTTTTTTACAAGTGTCTCGTAATTTTCCGAGAGAGGTTCCTTTCCCTCATCGCGCGCCCGTCGACCCGCGCACCGCGGAATACGTGAAACCATTGCGATCGCACCAGATCGCCCGCAGCGTCCGCGCCACGTATCGCTTCATTATCGCTTCGTTGTTTCCCACGTGTATCGTGACAAGTCCGATTCAGCCACCTTGCGCCCGCAAAGCGATAGAATTAACGTCGCGGAGCGATTTGTAAGGAGTTGCAAAACAATCAAGTAATATTTAAGATAACAGTTGTTGCGAAAAACTTCAAATTTTAAGTATTTTTATCCTGAATCACAATTGTCCAAGGCAAAGTAAGAATTTTGATTCGATAACGTATTATCCAAATTTATAGAAACCTTTCTCTTGTGGCGATGATTAAAAATAGATGTTTCAGGAAGAATAATCTGTTCGATAATTTGCGACGAATGAATTAGTCTCAGATGGTTCTCGTAACAATTGCGTGAGACGCGGAGCTGCCGTGTGCTTTTCCGATTATGTAAACTCTTTAATTAATAATGTTGTAAATCACTTATATCCGGACTTTACCGTTAAGCTTCAACTTTTAAATTATACGAAAAATAAGACATCCCCGTCCTTCGCTGGTCCGGAAGATTTATTTGCAAAAAGATTTCCATATTTTCCGCTGCGCATAAAAATTATTAATACCTAGATATTTCTCTTTGATTCCTTATTTAACGGGAATGCCTAGATATAAATTATTTTTACGCGCGATTAGAAACGAAAGATTTTTCGTAAATAAACATCATCAGCAACCAGTGAACGGTGAAGAACAATAAGCGATTTATTTGTCATGCATTTATCAAGTGGACTTTTATAGATAATAATCCTTTTTCTGTAAAGAGATTTAAGGTATTCTAAATCTCTTTCTCTCTCTTTTATTAGACGAGTCAAGGCGAATGCTTAGAATGGAAGAGATAAAGTGTGGAAAATGTGATCAACAACACAGATAACAATGAAAGCATTAAAGCAGAAGTGCGTACAGCGTCGAGCGTGTTTTCCCTCTCCCCCCCCTCTCTCTCTCTCTCTCTCTCTCTCTCTTAATTAAAGTAATTTATTATCTTTATCGTAATAGCGACCGCTTTGCTCACTGACAAAAATGACGCAATACGCAGAAACGGCTGCAACTCGGCATATCGGTAAATCAGCCTTCTTGTTGATTCATTCGGTGGTCCTTTTCAATTTCGTTCGCCAACCGGTAACCCTAGACTCGAGATCGTACAGTTTCAAAATCGACCGACAATCGCTCTCGTTTGCCACAAGTCTCTCACGATCAAATGATGATGACGCGGAACTATTGTATTAAACGACAATTTCCTTTCTAAAGATAAACGGTTATACATTTAATGAGCTGGAAAAAAAGATCTTTTTCCATCAGACATAGGATAAATCCTAGGAATATTCGCTCTGGAATGTCAGACCTTATTCGCGGGCCGTTTTTCTCTTTAAAGGGATGAAATTTAATCCTGATGTGAGAATAAAAGTTCATGGAAGTTTAGCGTTTATCACACAACGGCGATGATTCAATGATGCAACCGTCTAGATTTAAGAAGGACTCATCATCGATTAGCATACGTCAGTGCTAGCACGGCAACACGGATGCCAAGCCGTTGGACGACTCTCATGTTGCATCGGGAGAACGGAGTTGGATTACGCGCGGTGGTAGTTCGACACGAACGACCGCGGCGGGCGTTTGTGATAATCGCCGTTGCGACGGGATCATCCGACGCCCGATTAATCGAAAGGTGACGCTTACCGAGACAAGTCGGGGTTCGACCCAAAATATTCGGTTACAAGAAATTAATCTTGTCGCGCAAGAACGTAACTTGCACGATACCTCGACGACAGCTCGTTACGACCAATTGAGCGGCTAATTGCCGTAGCTGTCTGATCCGCTGATTTCTAATAGTTAGCCGCTCAACTTGCCCGACAAAAGAAAAAGAAGAAAGACTCTTCGCGCGCACTCGCGAGCGTGCGTTACCTTATTTCGCGACGTACATCGTTACGCGTAACGCGGAAAGTGTCCCGATCTGGGACAGTCCGGGTACCCCACCCGCGATCCAGCGATCCATCGATCCCGATGGCCTCCGGCCTCTCTCCCTCTTTTTTCGCCTCACCTCCGGCTGGTCTCTCGGTACCTTCCCTTTCGGTCTTTGGTCCTCGCAGCCATCCGGTCGAGACCGACAGGGTTTACTAAGAGAGAGCACACGTCCTCCAGAAACTTCAGTGTAAACCGCGCTCTCGAACCCGAAGGATCTTCGGATTCCTCCACTTTGAGACAGAGAGTTGGGGGTGCGCGAGAGAAAGAAGAAGATCCAGTTAACTCATGCGGGATCCCGATGCGACGTTCGACGGTTCGAGTGTGATCGAGTCTTCAGCATCGATCCGGCAGTGATCCTATCGCGATTTCGGTGTTCCTGATCGGAGCTTCCTGTGGTAAAAGCAATGTGGGGTCGTGTTCTTCTAGTATCGTTCGCGCTTATAGCGCTCGGAACAGCGAGTAAGTGAAATTCTTGAAAACAATTAATTTTTTCACATTACTTTTTGAAACTCGAACTGGTTTGTTCTTTACATCTTGAAGTATTCTAAAGAGAAAATTTTTTCCTGTCTTGTTATGCTTATGTTAAAACAGATATAAATAATAAATTTAGTAATGTATTTTTGCGGTTTGACATGTGTTAATAATTTAATTACAATTTTGTGAAATAAATTGGATAATTTATTTTCAAAGAAAACCTAAAGATTATCCATTTATTGATTTAACAGAATTAAGCATACTATTAATTTGTGCTGGCAATTCATTCATTATTTTATTTTAAAATTATGGTTAAATTATAAAATACAAACGTTATTTATCGCTCAAAATTATTTATATCTAGACGTTTCTGTTAAGCAAAAGTTCAAGTTTTGATATAAAAAAACTTTTATATGCAACGAAAATTAAAGAATTTTAAATAAATCTTCAGAACACATAAAGAACAAAATATCTTTTCATGTATTTGAATATTTCGAATATTTCGTGTCGCAGTCACAAGTAAATCCTCAGAGAAATAAACGTCGAAACGTCCCTCTTTCGAAATCATGTGATGGTGGAACAACATGGTATTTTGATCAACTTGATTAGAGTTTTTTAAATTTTACTAGTAAAATGTATGGTAAAAGTTGGAAAAACTCATAAAATTCTTCGAAAAATTCCGTGTTGTCCCACAATTACATAGTTTTCAGAATAAATTTTGAAAGAAAATTCTCTCCGTGTAACGCAACGTTGTATAATTTTAAAGAAGATACTCGTTGATATAAATACATTCTTGATTACGTTGCATCCCATTTCCGTAAAGTGAAAATTGAATGGTACATTCAGAGGATTGAATAGCACGCATCGACGAAATGTGAACGAATACGATGCGAAAAGCGATCTTCTGCCGATTGCGTTACACGCGTATCGGATACACCACGTCCTTTAAGGTTGAATTACGCCACGTGCAACTGAAGCGACCATCCTCGCAAGGACGGTACCATTTACATCGTGTGCATTCGTGTACGCGCGAAATTCTGACACCGCTTTAACGGGATCACATGTCGGTGATTCGGAGATTTTGTCTGTTGCACTCCCCGAGTCCGTCATAAGTCGATTACCACGAGTCGTTCATACAAATGAAATGGAGCACGTGCTTTGATTTATCAAAACGAATGCCCCGCGGCGACGGCAAAGCACGAAATACACGGCGCGCTTTCAAATAAATCCTCTCGCGTGTCTGTCTTTGGTGAGAAATACCCGTTCCCGCTCTTACCCGTTTGATCCAACGAGCGCCACTCGCACGTGGCGTAAATGACATTTGTAATATTTATACGTGAGAAATAGTGTTTATATTTATGCAAAGAATTCGCAGGCATCGCGCAACGTCTGTACGCAACGTTGCGCTCAATCATATGCGCGATGATCGCACATAGTTATTATCTCAATGTATCCGGGACTTGTTGATTATTAATGAAACACGTGTAATCCGCTTTTTAATCTCCCGCGGGGAAGATCATCATCCTGTGCGGGCTTCTTTCCTTTTTAGAGAGCGGATAGCAAAGCTCGCGTGACTATGCAAAAGACTAGTACTACATAATCACAATAACGCATTGTGACCGGTCGATGATGTCAACCGTTGAAACTTCCGCTTCTCCTGGCTCGCTCCAGCCAAACTCCCTTCTTACGGCAAGCGAAATCGAACGCATGAATTTGTTGCAGAATGTCCGAGGAGGAAAACGTCGCCCGTCAGAGAAATTCTGTGCTATACTTCCACCTTCGACGCGCAGCTCTTAGCCGGCTCCGTGTGCAGCTGCACCACTCTGGTGCATCAAAATCATGATGTGCGGAATCTCTCAATTTCCGGTGAGCGCAATAACAAAGGAAGCATTGTAATTCGAGCCATTTTGAAATCACGCATCGCTGTTGGAAATGTAGACAAGCGAGTTCAACAGGACAGTCTGTAATGGCAAAATTAACATTATCGAATATCCATGAAACGCGAGTATGATTGACATGGATCTGAACGAAATTTCTGACGAGCTAAAATTTGCAACAGATAATCAATTACAAATAAAATGGTGTTTCAGACATTGCAGACTTGCGGAAGTCTTTGAAAGAGATGCATCCGCCTCTTCAATTTGTAATTTCTATATACGATCCAGCGATGACGCTCAGAAATTCCGCCACGGTACGGCAGGAAGCTATCGCTCGGATTATTGCCGTTATGAAAGAGGTATGGTATTTTCTATTGTCATCTCGAAGTGAGATCTTATCTTCCGAGAAGATAAGATGACTCGAGAATTGAATAATCACGTAATGAGTGGTTGGGTACATACTTCAATATGTAAGATATAAGTATTCGTGAATAATTAAGTAGGCTGCTTAAGAAACGTTAGTTGAGATAAACTCGTAAAACAAAATTATGCAAATGCAAATGTTAAATCGCGAAAGTGCGTGCTGACGAGCTGACAGGGGGAAGTTTTTCCTGTCTGTTCAAGGTGGACGGCGTGGAGATGAACGTGACGGCGGGTTCGAAGGAGCGCCTTTATAATTTTGTCAAGAGTCTGAAAGACGAAATGATCCGCAAATCTTACGACAAGAGGATTTTCATGGCTTTGTCCAGCAGATCGGAGGATTTGGCCAAGCAGTTTGATATTAAGGAGCTCATAAAGTAAAAATCGTCCTCGACTGACATATTACGACCCGCTCGTCGACGAGAGGCCCAAATTCTTGCCGTATTTTATCTTTCGCATTTCTTCTCCTTTTTTCCTATTAGGTATATCGATCTATTTACGTTGCCGACGGATTATATGACGGACGAAGACGGAGCCTACGTCACCTTTCACCCCTCGCGCCTGATGGGACTTTTCGACATGCTGAACACAGACAGCCTGATAGACTTGATAAGTGGATTAGGAGCACCCAAGCAGAAGATCGTGATGACCTTGCCGGCCAGTGCGTACAGATTCACTTTGGAGAACGAGGACGAGAACGCCCCGAGATCGGCGACTACGGAGAAGGAGCCCGTGCCGATCGACCGTGAACAGGTGCGACATGTATTCTCGGGCTGAACTTGCTTACGACTACGGCAACTTAGCGGCACTTGCGAGTGCGCTGAAGATCGCAAGTCCATCCTCGAACTGACCGATCTTTATCGTAGCTCTGCGAGGCCACAAACAGCGGGGAATGGACCGTGGAACGAGATGAGGATCTCACGGCGCCGTACGCATTTCAAAACAAAACGTGGATCGCTTTCGAAGATAAGATTTCGGTCGGAATAAAGGTGCGTACGCGGATTTCTCAGTTACTCGCCCCGTGTAAAAGAAAGTCAGCGTTCGAGGCATCATTGAATGAAACACCATTCGTTCGTTTAAGGTTTGTCGAAGCAACCGATGGTTTTAGTCTGTACGACAGAAATGATTTCAGGGGAAATACGCGTTGCTGCGGGACTTGGCGGGTTTGGCGGTGCGAAATATAGAGAACGATGTGGAGACCGAATGCGAGGAACCGCTCGCGCAGGAGATTTATCGTGCGTTTACAGAATTTAAGAGAAAATCGAGACAAGCCGTGCTCAACGCGCTGGAAGACGAGCTTCATGTGAGATTACTTTTATCCCGCATCGAATTACTCTTTCTACTTTTACGATAACTCGCTGGAAATTTCAGCAAATGCAATTTTCGTATCCAAATCATGCGAAAACGTCCAGCTTCCGCGTCGTTCGTGCGGTGGACACGGACGGGCACATCAGGGCCGTACGCGAAAACACGCAAACTGAATTCGTTTGCAAACGGCAAGGCTACTTCGTCCATCCAAAGAGTTGCAACAGGTAGTTACGATATTTATTATTATTTAATTAACGGCGGTAATTACAAATTAAACCGAGCAAATCAAAGGGAGATCACAGTTAAACTCAAATATACAATAAGCAACTTCTTTTGCAGATTCTATCGTTGTGTAAAATTCAATCAAGCAGTAGAGGACTATTCCGTCTTCGAATTTGATTGTCCGGCCGGACTGTCGTTCGACGAGCGCACGGAGGTTTGCGTTTGGCCGGGCTCCTTGCCCGAGGGCTCGCCGTGTCCTGGCAGCAGCGAGATCGCTCCTGTCGCCCCGAAGAGATTCGAATGCTCCCAACCCGGCTACTACGCGGACCCACAAAATTGTCGTTGGTTCTTCGCTTGCATGGATTTAGGTGCGCTACAATTCATGCACGATGAATTATTCATGCATTCATACATAGACCTTATGTATTATTCAAAATCGTTGAAGAGAGCGTTATAATTGCGGAACATGTCGTATTATCTAATCCTTACTGTTGCAACATCCACGCTTACCTTTTCCATCTATATTCAAATTAGCTATGCGCGTACGAAATACATTTTTATACACTGAAAGCAAAATTTTCGCTACCGCAGCTAAATGATTATCTACGGTAGCGAAAAACCATGAGGTTTGCTAAAAATATTTTGCCGCCATAACTATAAATTTCTGCACCACCAAACAGTTTGCTGTCGCACCTAATACAAAAGGCACAGTAACAAAATATTTAGCTATCGCAACTAAATATTAGCTGTACATATTTTACAACTGAAATTTAGTTGCCACGTGCGGTTTTTAGCTAAGGCAGCTACATTTTTCTTTCCGTGTATAAATCAAAAATACGTGTGGCCAGCAAAATGATTAACAAATCAAAAGATTTTCTCGACCAGAACTGGCGAAAGGTTTACAATTTAAATAACTACGTTTCAACCATTGTGGATTGTAGACCTTATCAAGTTAGAGCGAGGGTACTCGTGGCTATTATAATCTTGCAATTGCTAGTTAAACCTCAGCAGGTAAAATAACGTTATAATTTCACACCAAAACCTGATAGCGAGGAACACAGTACGTCCATAACGTGTTAAGGCTGACAATAAGAGAGAAATATAAATGGATATAAATTTGTATATTAATTTTATCACATCGATATCAACAGGTGGATCGGAATTAATGGCGTTCGAGTTTCGCTGCCCGTACGGCCTGGTGTTTGACGAGCAGAAGCTGGTGTGCGAGTGGCCTTGGCTGGTGCCAGCCTGCTCGGGATCCGGCTACGCCAGAACGGAATACAACTACGGGGGATACACCGCGGGAGCCTCGACTGGCGGTGGAGTCGGCGGTTACGTCACCGGCGGTTTGCCGGAGCACTCCGTCACGGAGGGAGCGGATTACAACGTGGACTATTCCAGGACGACCGGTACCGGTGTCCGCGGACCGAACTATTTCGGATCCACCGCGGGAGATATCGGCAGACATCCCGGTGCCTCGACTCCCGGCGCCGGAACAGTTTCCGGACACGTCGGGTTCTCTGGTCCAACCGGTGTCGGTTATTCTAAGTCCACCGAATATGGAGGCGCGGTATCGTCCGGTATACAGATTGGTTCGGTACCACCTCGTACAATCGTGGCAGAAGGTGGCACGGGATACTCCGCATCGACCAGCCAAATTGGCGGTACTGGATATACCGTCTCTGACGGATTTAATACTGGTAGATTTGGGAACACGGGATCGCCGGGAGGAATCACCGCAGACTTTTCCGAATCCACATCGGGAGAGTATTCCGGAACTGCTGGTGGAAGCCATTTGACGCAGCAAGGCGTAACTTATTCGGCAAGACCTATCTCGGGCTATCCTAGTTCGGTAGCGGGAGGCTATACAGGAAGTACGACTAGCCCGATAATAGATACAAGTTATTCTAGAACTTCCGGGGGAGTAGGATTTTCTGGATCCACATCGGGAGGATATTCCGGAACTGCTGGTGGAAGCCACTTGACGCAGCAAGGTGTAACTTATTCGGCAGGACCTATCTCGAGCTATCCTGGAGGCTATACAGGAAGTACGACTAGTCCGATAATAGATACAAGTTATTCTAGAACTTCCGAGGGAGTAGGATTTTCTGGATCCACATCTGGAGAGTATTCCGGAACTGCTGGTGGAAGCCACTTGACGCAGCAAGGTTCGGCAAGACCTATCTCGGGCTATCCTAGTTCGGTAGCGGGAGGCTATACAGGAAGTACGACTAGTCCGATAATAGATACAAGTTATTCTAGAACTTCCGGGGGAGTAGGATTTTCTGGATCCACATCGGGAGGATATTCCGGAACTGCTGGTGGAAGTCACTTGAGGCAGCAAGGTGTAACTTATTCGGCAGGACCTATCTCGAGCTATCCTGGAGGCTATACAGGAAGTACGACTAGTCCGATAACAGATACAGGTTATTCTAGAACTTCCGAGGGAGTAGGATTTTCTGGATCATCTCTCGATTCTCACGTAGGATCTGCGAGTCCTAAATATGTCGGATCGACGAATGTATACGAAGGCTCTAGCACGCATACTGACGGCTACTCGGCTTCTACCGGGGCTTATTCAGGAGCAACCGGACATCAGCCATCGTTCGGCCAAACTGGTCCGCCATTCGGATCTGTTTCTTATCCTGGCGCTACTGGCAATGTTGACGTCACAGGATCGACTAACAGGCAATACGCGGGCTCAACAGCATACGGACAGTCGACTGGCGCGGAATACTCCAAGGGTACGGGCGGGATCAGCTCTACTGAAAGCACTATTAATTTGTCAACCAGTTCTGGGATAGGATCAAATCTGTACGGTACAACGGGTTCAGGTCGCGTCCCAGGAACCGATTTCATTAGCGGCGTTCCGAGCTCCGAATTGGGAACCTCGGGAGTTTCTACGGTCTCCGGGCATGTGAGCATTACTTCTAGACCAACAGGCGCTTCTTCGACAGGCTACAAATACAACAGCGAGGAAGGATACACGGTCCCTGTATTCATACAACACGAAGAACCGATTTATCCTTCGGTCGGAACAACAGGGGCCGGAGTGAGAGGCCAGGTACCGACAGGAACCGGTGGAGTCGGTTTAACAGGCGGCTACGGGAAAACTGATTTCGCGAGACCTAATTTGAACATCAGTATTTACGGCAATGAGATTCCTACCGGCTACAACGTTCAGACAGGCACTACCGGCGCGATTCAACCTGGTACTAGCGTGGACGGAAGTATTATTACCAGTGATTCTTTCACGGGAACTGTATTCAGTCACGGCCACGTTCCCGGAGCGGTGTCAACTCCTGCCATTAACCAGGGCGGAGTTCTAATCGGAGGAGGTCAACCTGGCTATGTCGCCACCTCTTCCGGAACACCGGGATATGCGATCAGCGACGGAGTGAAAACCGTCGACGTCGGATCGGCCAGTCCGGGAACTTTGCTGTACAGCACGCCGAGTCCTGCGATCTCAATAAGCGGCCCTTCGACGGCCGGTGTCCATTTGAAAGGTGACTCTACTCCGGGCGTCGTTATCTCCGGACAAACTGCTCCTGGAGTATCTCTAGGAGGTTCCATTCAGTCGGGTTTGACCATCGAGAGCTCGACGCATAGGCCGTACGATCAGTCACAATCAACGTATCACGGCATCAGTGGCACCCCTGGGGGTTCAATTACCTATTCGAGTAGCACGCCAAGCGAAGGCCTGATACCTACAGCTCCTCACGGGTACAAAACTGACGAAGGACGCGGTACGTTCAGCACCGCTTACGACACTAACAAGTATACGGAAAACGACATTCTGGACTACAGGCCGACGGGCGCCAATCTTCCCGACTCAATCGTTCCGGGTGGTATTCCTGGCTCTACTTTCGAAGGCCCGTCCACCCCAGGATATTCCTCGAGTAAGTCAGCCGTTTTCACACCAAGCGGATTCACGAAGACTGGCCCGACCAGAACAGGTATAACCACCGCTGTTCTCGGAGGGGGCGGCAGTTACTCGGTAAGCACAGGTGATCGTCGGCCTGCTTACAATCCCGACAACATTAGTGAAAAAGCATTCGCGGGGAACGTTGCTGGATATACCAAGACGTCGTTTACTGACGGCCCGTCCTTCACCTTGACTCCACCAGGCTACTCCTCGACAGCCGCGCCAGGTGGTCGCGTTCAGTCAACTACTTCCGGTTATTCGTATCCCAAACCAAGCGTTCAATTCGAAACTAACGAAGCCACGTCCTCCCCAAGGCCCGTTGGGTCGACTGGATTTAATTTACCGGTTACGACGCCGTTCTTCAGCCGCTTGCCAACGTCAACGGTCCGACCCATAATTTACACCACTGAACATCCGGAGCTTTACCAAACGACTCTCTTCGAGTCGAAGAAGATACCAGAAGCTGTGTCGACCATCAGACCTATTATAGTCCCCGATTACATTTCCCCGACAACCAGTCCGGTGTCCGTATTCACCGATGACCGGTTCACTCAACGAACGGGCGGTTCGCAAACTGCATCAGCATCCACGTCTGGCTTCGATTCAGGAGTTCCCTTCCGACAGACCGATTCGAGCGGCCCGACAGGATATAGCTCGTCGGTGGGATACCTCCCGGCGAAGTCAACTGGGCCTGGCGCAATTGCATCCACCATCAAGTACGACGCGTCTACGGTAACTGCGCGACCAGAGCCTGGTATAACGTACAAGAAACCTTCATCGATCCCCGACGTTTCGTATGGAGGGCCTTCCTCGTTCCAAACGCCCACCACATTCAGACCTTCCAGCGGTTATTATCCCGGCCAAGGGTTTTCAACCACTCCGTCTTCTCTAGGGACAACCCCTGGCGGTGGCTCCCCGACAAACCTGGGTATCTCAAGAGATAAGATCGACAAGTTGATTACAAACTATGACAGAGGCACCGTCAAGTACACGCCGACTGTATACGATACCTATTCGAGCTCAGGATTCGACTCGACCAAGAAATTCACCTCGTCGCTGTCTTCCTCAAAGGTCGGCAGTGGATTCACAAGGCCATCCGGCATCCTCGGCCCCTCCACACTCTCATATGAAGTTACCACAAAATCGCCCGAAGGCAAGGGCAAGGTCATCATCAAGTGGAGCGACCTTCATCCACTTCTCCTGGGTAAACTCGGGGCAGAGTGCACATGCAAGGCCGATCCCTTTGCCAACCTTCGCGGCCCGGTAAAGAAGCTGATCGAATCTTCCAAGGGCAAGGTGGATCTGGCCAACTACGACTCTTCCGAGATCTACGTTGATTTTGGCTCTTCCGCAGAGAACGACTATTCTACCGATTACGGTCGGTTTCCAGCGCAGCCCTTTAAAATTAGCGCACCCAAAACGACGTCCGTTTCGACCGGCCCGCCATCGGCCTCTTACTTACCCGCGACAGATGCTAGAATATCCGCGAACAGTAACGAGCTCCGCTCGGGTCAGCGAATAGGCAAGAAATTGCAGTACGAAGAGGAGGAAGAGGAAGAAGGAAACGAAGATTACGACGACGATCCTGACCAAATAATTAACGGGGTCACCGATTGCGCCAGGCCAGGCCTCTTCAGACATCCCGGCCTCTGTAATAAATTCTACGCTTGCCACTGGGACCAGTGGAAGAAGAAATTCACGCTTCACATCTTTAATTGTCCTGTTCATTTAACGTTCGATTCGAGCGCGGGCGCGTGCAACTGGCCAAGTAAGGGACCAGCTTGCCAAGCCAACAATTTATTAGTGTAAATGCGTCATTAGACTCTTATCATCGGTCGATTAACGTTTTCTTTATATCTTCGTGGGGCTTCATCTAAAATTCTTTTGTACATAATGAATAGAAGAAGTCAGGGGTGCAATTGTACATTTTAAAATCACTTTTTAGATCGCTCAGTTCGGAAGATCAATTCGCTCTTATACAATGGCACGTTGCGAGTGCGGTGGCATGTCGTTAAATAACGAGCGATTGTTGCTTTCACGCGGATTGATCTCCCGGCCTTGGATTTCTTTTGGGGTTTATCTTGACACCCAGATCCCCAAACGTTTGCATTGAATAGCATCGATAAATATCTCGTCCAAGCGAATCTCCTAGCGTCGGAGAGTGGAGTCGTGGGAAGATGGAGACTTGTTGAGACGTAAGAAGAAGGCCAAATCCAAGGCGATCGAGGTACTGCAGGAAAGCGTCGTCAGAGTGAAAGTAGTCCGTGCTCATCGATCCAAATCGCGAAAAACCGCTGGGTATCAATGTAATACAGCCCGTACTTCTATATTCTGAATTTATGGAAAAGACGTGGAATGAGTCGCTTAAGAAAAATCCGCCTACTCGTCGATATATTCTACTAATGATAATAATATGTCAGCAATACGTTTCTCTCTGATAAAATTAACACCGTGCGAAAAGTCGGAGTTTGAGGATGACATGAATAAATAATAACGCTTGCTCTTCGTTCTTAAATGTCACTCATTTCATGGAAATTTCGTGTTCAAGAATTATATGTAACGAGTATTTCCTATCTCGGGTCGCCCGAGGTTGCCTTTCCCCCTCCCCCTCCCTTTTATCTGGCGTAACGATATCGATAACGCGTGCTGCACGATTGATACTCTTCCTGATCGAGTTTGCGCTTTCCTTTCCGGGTATCCACAACTTCCTGACATTCCTCAGATAATTGTTCAAAAGTTACTTATTACATACTGCGCGCTCGCGCTTCCCTTGATTTTCCGTCCCTATATCTTACCTTTCATATTCTCACAAAATATAATTTATTCGTCGCTTATTAAGAAAACGTAGCGATAATGTCAACGTCTACTCTTTCTACGGTTCTGACAGCGCTTTAATTATCGCCCCGAGCATTTATCGAGCGGTTAATTGAGTACTGTTAAGATCTTAAATAAAAAATTGCGTGACCAAGATACATCCTTATTTATTAGCAAATTGACCTTTAGCTTCCCATTGGAATATTGCAGCTTCGGTAAAAATATTAGAAACTGCTAATTTATGATATTACAAAATTAATTTCGTCAGAAATGAAATAATTTAGAATAATTTCATTGAATTAAGAGAATATTAAAAGACGTTAGAAACACAGCAAATTCTGAAAAAGCTATTTAAAAAATGTTATATATTTTTTATATATTTCTTCTTTAAAAAAATCATATCGTGTGTTTCTACCACTTTGTTTCTAGGATTTTCAGCTCAATAATTAAGTGCCTGGTTATTATTTTAAAAAGAGAATTTAATTTCATTTTAGTTTCAAAATTTATCGATCGAGAATTTATCGAATATCCCGTTGCACTTATGTAGATCGCTCGCGTTAAAGAGAAAAAGCGTGATAGTTCTTTATTCTCGAAACTTGCTTTCCTCTCGCTGATGATGGTGGGAAGCTGTCACTCCGTCGCTACCTAGCCAGCCAACTTGCCACTCGGCGAGTGGAGAGGGGTCGCGATTACCAATCAGCGAGAAAGAGAACACTTGTCGCGGTTGAAACGAGACGCAAAATGAAAGAAAAGGCTGGTACTGACGCGCGATTCATTAGTTCGGGCTAGGAGGTGATATAAAGGCGCACAGGGGCCTGAGTCGATCTGATTTTGCCCGTAACACCAACTGAGGGACCAGCCCGATAGCGGGAAATCCGTCGCTGCCACACCACATTTTACCATCATGTAAGTCTGTCGTTTGTTTTACTGATAAAATATTTATTATTTTCCGTCACTTTCGTTAGACATTGATTGTAACATCGCTTTTTAACGTGCTTGTAAAGAACGTGTCTTTTTTTCCATTTTGATAATCATATAATCTTAAAATCAATATTGTTCTCACAGTTCACGAGTTTGAACGATAACTTAGACTTTTTAACTTTAAATTTTCTTAATGTTTACGATTGTGTGCAAACAAAACTCTTGGAAAATTTTTAATGGATGAAGATTAAGAATGAACTAAATTTCTCTCCGTCTCATTATTTTATAATTATGGATCTAGTTAAATAATATTAGTCGGACATGTTGTTAGTTGTTCCTGTAGCAAAAAATTATTCAGTAAACACAGCAAAATGTTTTATTTACGTGAGGAAGTATTTTTAAAGAGGCTTGCAATGACAACACAATGGAATGCAAAATCAATCTTTGCCACATTACATAAGTGCAGACAAGAAGAATGCGATAATCATCGACTTTGCAACTGACCTCGCAATTTTCCGATAATAAATCAATACAAATGATCTCTCTGCTGTTACAAGAAGTCTATGTTTCCTCATTATATTGTAGTCACGTTATTGAAAGGCAAGTTCAAAATAGAACTGCGCGTTTCGCTCTAGTACTCGTAGTAACTTGACTTTTAACTTCAGTCGCGCGTGTCAATGCATATCACTTTCTTATGATGGTGAAAGTTGATCCGCTTTATCTTGGATGCGTTCGCGAAACTGCTGTTGGCGCTAAAAGCATCAATCTGTCTTTGTTGCCCGTTACATAAAAAAAAAGATAGACTCCTTGCTGACAAATCTTACATCTCACACATACCCGAAAAAGTATTAAATACTTACATTAAATATTAAATTATGAATATTTGACTTTGACTTATAACAAAACCAATTTAAACATTTTGTACTGCAGCTAGTAATTTATAAAAAATTTTTATTAAAAGTGAAGTTTAATGTCATATGAAAACAATTAATTGTTAAAATTAATTTCTCATATTATTATTCGTTACGATATATTCTTCAATTAGCAAAACATTTCACGAAATATTTATTAACAATTTTTACACTTTAATTTATTTGTCTCCGAACGTTAATAACGTTAATAATCCTTAATAGCGTCGGCAGAGAGATATTATATCAGAAAATAGAAAATAAGAGGTTTACGATTACTTGACGAAGGGAGAAAGGAGAGAGAAAAATAAAAGATACATGCAGAAGAGAGGACGAGCCTGGAGACTTGGCGGAGAAATAGCCGCGAGCAGTGAAAGTAGCGCAAACCACCGGCTGAACTTTACCGAGAATGGTCACATTGGCGATTAAACGTCAGCCGAGCAGAAAAGAAGCGATACGAGCGCAAAAAAAAATTCCTTCGCACGCCCACGTGACGTGTTGCGTAATAACGTGTTGTCGCCTCCGTGTCCGTGTTGATGCTAATTGCATAGCTTTTCGCGTAATTTCAAATCGCAGCTAGATCTTTCCCACCTTGGATTTATTTATGGATTAGGACTCTGATCCAACTCAGCAATTTACACTTTTTTGCAGTTTAGCTAGCAAAAGATTTAATAGCAAAATTTAACAAATTGTCAAGAACAGAACGTAAAATACTACATACATATATAATGTTTATATTGATATGTAATATATAATTTTAGTAAGTTTTATTAATTTATTACGTATTAATATAGTAATTTATATATAATAAATCATTAAGGAAAAATCAAACACGCGCGCCCGCAACTTCTTTTAAAGTCTCTTAAGTATAATTTGCAAGAATTTCTTTCTTATTATTCAGGCATTTGTGTGGGATCGAGTCAAGCTTCACTGACTAATGCATATTCTCTCATTTATATGAACAGGGTGGTGTGGGCGGTGCTGATATTGGCAGCGGTCGTGTTGACCGATGCAGCGATACCAGATCCACCGGAAACTACTGGCATCACCACGATCGGATCCAAAAAATTGGCAACTGCCGCCGATTGCGCCGGACTTGTCGCTTTCTCTGCCATCCAAGGATCGGTGAATGTAAGTTAATAGGAATATTTTGTAGGGGTTTCTCTGGGATTTGCTGGTAGTGAAATAAATCTCTTCACAGTTAATTAAACAATTGCTAGGACTTATCAAAGCCCGACGATCCGTGATTCGCACTGCACACGAGTGTCTTTCCGGGCGACCGACACACGGTATATACATATAGTATATCTGCTGTGTTTCGCCGTTAGATTTCGATTTGTCAGTTTATGCGAAAACTCTAGAAGGTTGTTACGTTACCATTACGTCGCTTCTAAACAAGACAAATAAGTGAAGCGATGAGTCAGGCAAACAATAGATAACAATACATATAATTGTTGAACGGTTTCCTACAACTGAAGTAACTGTAAAGTAAAACAAAATATATCCGTGAACTAGGATTCAATTATTGAAATTAATTTAAAGAGCTAAGTGAACAAATATTAATTTTAATAAGAATAGAAGAATTTTGGATGCTAAAGTCAAAAAATTGATCTGATTCTTTTAACCTTTTAGTAGAATATAAGTACACAATTGTTTATGTGATAATTTTTAGGTACTTTGAAAATTATGACTATACAAATGTATACAGGAAGCTAAGCTCGTCCTTGCTGAAACGCTAGTGGACAAAGGAGTCGGTTACGCGGCACAGACCGGGATCTTCACTACGCATTGTCCAGGCCTCTACCAATTCAGCTTCGCCGGATACGGTAGCACAGACCTGCGACTAACATTGAAACGCAAACTGAACAAGTCCGACAGTTGGAGGCCGATTGTCAGCGCTGGTCCAGGCGGAGGAAGCAATCTCGTCCTGTTGGACGTCGAAGCCGGCGACCAACTTGCCGTCTTCGTTGACTCCGGGAAGATTACTGACGGAGCCAGCTTCACCGGTCACCGCGTTTACAAAAGATAAGCTGGACCATTAAGCAACACTCTTTGGCGAATTCAGGATCACCATTAGGAACGCAATATTGTGATATGTTACAAACTGAAACCGAGTCTAAAATGATTCTTGATATATCAGGGTTGAAATATCTAACCGAAAATTCCGGAATATCCTTTTCAGTTTTAAAAAAATGTTTAACAGGAAAAATTATAAAAATCGTTATATAGTTTTACATTTTATGACTCATCTTTTATCTTCTGACTAGTAACATTTTAATCGCATCTTTTAAAATTATCAAATCCAATTGAAGTTACAGGAGTTATAAGAGAGCATAATGTCACGCTCACTTAGACCGAGAAATCGCCAGATTGTCATTAAATGCATTTAAAAGCAGCTATAAAAAAGAGGGATTAAGACGCTTTTGCAATCCAAGATTTTTTTCTACAAACAAATCTCAAGAGCCTTCTTGTGTGCTGAGATAGAGTTCCTAATTCGTAATTCTGAAACTTCTCGATGATCTTAACATTCTGTGATAGCTATTTTCTTCACGCGTCGAAAATGTCACTGATTTCTATAAGTAAAATAATAAAATATCCAATTTTATAAATTAATACGAACTTCTCCGGTTTCCAGCTTTCGCTTTACATTTCTTCCGGTTCGCTTTCTAGCATTTTTTTGTTCATATTAACTTTCCCCTCGTCTCTTAATTCATTTTCCTTGATATTTTATTGCTTCCTTATTTTCTTCGCTACAATAACGCCATTCGGAGGCAACTTTCTCCGTTAAAAATGTATACGTTCCTCTTTCTCTCTATTTCTTCGATTACATTTACATTTCTAGTACTTTCTAATCTTCATCATTTCTTTTTTCACTGTCTGTTTTTCTTTTTCTTCGTTACTTCCAGTTTACCCCTACTCTTTGCTTTCTTTTTATCATTTCTTTATCTCTATTAAAATTTCTGTATTTCTATTTCATACATTACTTCTTTATCTAGCTCTTTTGCGCTCTCTTCTTTTATTTTCTTATAGATATACTTCTATCAATATTAAGTTTGTAGTCCGTCATAAGCTTCAACTCTTTTATCTCGGTATATTACGTCTTTATTATCTTTAAAAACATTCAGACTATCTTTCTTTTTACTGCCTTCCCGCGGTGTACTATTCTTTTTCTTTCATTTCTTCACTGAAACTTTCTTTAAGCTTTATCGAATTTACACAATTTCTACTTCCATTTCCTTTAACTTTATTACTTCTGTTACTTGTATTATCCTTCATATCATTATATTTCTATCAAAGTTTTCTCTTTTAAACTTATTTTCTCTGTTTTTATTATTTTCTAGTTCATTTTTACTTCATCTTTTTCTAGTCTTCTTCTTAAGAAGCAGTAGATACTTTATATCTTTCTCTCTGAACTTTCTTCACCTGTGTTCTTCTGTCTTCATCTTTCTCTTTATAATTTTAATATCTTGTATTCTTTTACTCTCAGTTCTGTTTCCAATCTAGTCCATGTACATTGGTTGCTCTATCTCTCTTTTTGTCTTTATCTACCTGTCTATCTATCTATCAATCTATCTATTTATCTGTCACTCTCATTCTATTTCTTCTTGTGAATATAATATAGCCTGCTATCACAGCAGTTACATCGGAGAGAAGACCTGTAAAATTGGCAGAGAATAAAAAAAAGAGAAGAGAGAGATTGCGGCAATGAAGTAGAAGAAATAGTGATTGATTAAACGACGAGAAAGAACACACATGCGCGCGCGCGCGCGCATCTACGACGAACAGTGCGAATTATTTTTCTGTAATTTTTATTAAATTTATGAATATAAGAAATGTTAACGCGATGAATAAAGTTGTGCACGTATTTCTTATCGCCAACCTAACTTCGGCCAGGCTTCAATTACACTCTTAAACATGACTGGCTGACACACATCACATACATTCTTTGGAAGGAACATGAAGAGCTCTCTATAATCAGATATTCAGTTCGACTGTTGTACTTTCCAATCCCTTGTAGTTCTTGAGCACGGGATACACCTCCTCTTCGAGGAACTCGACGACTTGCTCGGGCGCCCTACCGATGAAGGTTAACGGGTCCAGCAGAAGGTCTAGCTGGGATAAAATCGGCACAAAGTACGAATCGTTTTTGATTCTATCAACCAGATCGTTATCCAAGCCATGTTGCTTGACTTGCGCTCCGGCTTCTTGCGACAACACGCGGATTTTCTCATGGCAAACCTAAAACAAATGCACAAAAGTAACGCATACGCAAGATTAATATCTACGTATAATAGTCTTAAACTATTAAAGTTCCAAAGAATTACGTCAAATAAACAACAGATTATAATATGTTGACTGAAGATCAAAATTTCACATTTTGATTGATTAATTAAATTCAACTATTCGTAATTCGGTCCGTCGACGCCTAGATACTCTCGTTATAAAAGAAACTAATAAAAATTATTAAAAAGCAAGGTAATAAAATGCATTTCGTACCTGTCTATCGCCGCCGGCCTTTACCATGGCCATAATCACATTCTCCGTGGACATGAAGGGCAACTCCTGTGCCACGTGCCTGGCGATGACCTTGGGATAAACGACTAATCCCTCCGTGATATTCTGGAGAGTCATCAGGATCGAGTCGGCCGACAGGTAGGCCTCCGGCAGGACAAGCCGGCGATTCGCCGAGTCGTCCAACGTTCGTTCCATCCACTGGGTCGCCGCGGTATGGAGGGTGTCGTTCACGAGAACCATCAGGTGACGGGCCACGCTGCAACATCTCTCGGAGCGCATCGGGTTCCGCTTGTACGGCATCGCGCTGGAGCCTATCTGCGTACTCTCGAAAGGCTCCTCGATCTCCTTCATGTTGGCGAGAAGACGAATGTCCGTGCAAATCTAGGCAAATTAGAAAGGAAGAGATTGAGATCGAGTGACTTCTTTGAAAGATATTGAAGATGTTTAAAGAGGGGCCGCTTTATAAAACTGCTCACCTTGTGAACGGTCGCACCGAGTGAGCTCAAAACGTTCAGACATTCGATGTCAACTTTTCTGCTGTAGGTCTGTCCGGTGACGGCGTAGTACTTGTCGAAACCGGCCATCTTAGTCACGGCGGCGTCCAGTTGTTTCACTTTTTTCGCATCGCCTGTTGATATCAATTTCAGCTATTATACATATACAAAATTGGAAAATTACATGCCACTTACGCATCAGTTGCTTCTACTTTTTCTAGTTCATATCTTATTCCTAGTTCATATCTAATCGTTACAATTGCTTTATGTTTTCTTAAATCCAAAGTCAAGTTAAAGCTCTATAATTATTTCTGGAATCTAAATTGTTCCCTAACGGTCTCAATGTAACGCTTCGTACTTTTCCCTGGTAAAAATCAAAGTGTTGCAGAAAGGCTGAACGGACCGACCGTTAAAGAGCTGAAGGAAAGACGCTTGAGTGCCGGTAGTGCCTTTAACGCCGCGGAATTTCAAGTCGCTCCTGGCGCGACGAATAGCTCTCTCGTCCATCAGCAAGTCCTGCAGCCACAGGGTCGCCCTTTTGCCGACCGTCGTGAGTTGCGCGGGTTGAAGATGAGTGAAGCCTAAAGTAGGCAGGTTGCGGTTCTCGTGGGCGAATTTCGCGAGGCGCTGGATCACGCTGGCTAGCTTTGGAAGCAGTATGTCGAAGCCTTCGCGGAGCACCAGGAGGTCCTTCGAGAGGAGATAGTATAATATTAGCAAACCAGATAACTCCAATTAATTAAGCAAAAACACAATGCAAAGGTTCTGGAATCGATTATCAGCGGCCAAAAACACAATTATATCTTGCCACCAAGACAAATGAAAGAGAATACTTTTGTGATAAAGTTAATGAAGTGTATACCGTGTTGTCGCCCACATAACAACTGGTGGCACCAAGATGGATGATAGGCGCAGCCAGGGGACACTGTTCGCCGAATACGTGAACGTGTGCCATCACATCGTGCCTCGTCGCCTTTTCCTCCTTGGCGGCGGCCTCGAAGTCGATATCGTCCACGTGGGCCTCCATTTCGGCGATCTGTTCCGGCGTGATCGCCAGGCCGAGCTTCTGAAAAATCGTCGAGAAACATTTCTGAGTGACACCATCTTGAAATCCGCTATTTCGTTTGCGAAAATGAACAGGTACGACGCGATAATTTTACGATGCGGCCAGTTTGAATTATCGTTTAGATAAGATCGCGCATGTGCGGCCGTCCTCTACGGTTCTTATCCCCATTTCAACGTACTCTCTGTATCATCTGATTAGATAAAGAGGGCTTGGTTCTGCCTCGGAATCATCAAACCCCGGCGCAGCTATCATTTTGTTACGTGCGTTTTCACGGCGAGAGGTGCGAAAGGTCTGCAAGAATGGTGTCCCTGCAGACTATTGCGAGTATAGTGATCAAAGTGCTAAAGTTGGTGAGGAGATTGTATTATGGTTCTCGTATCGTAATCGTGAAAAGTGTATATCTAACAGAACAAGCGAGAAAGAGAATTCCCTGGACGAGTCCCAACGATATCTTCTTATCAATTTGAAACAAATCCAACGTACAGAGTTTCGAGCGAGTCGAATTTTCTGTAATTGATTTATGAATAAATGATATCTTCTTTTTTCAATCTTGAATATTTCTTAACGAGATTTCATCTCGAGATTTATTTGCGAGTATTCTTTAAATTGTCAAGTAGATATTCAAGACGTAAACTTATCAAATTTTTATATTGCAATTTTTATCAGACTTTTATCGAATTCAGCAATTAAACAAACTTCGAAAAGCTTCACGATCAATTCCACAAACTTCTATGTAAGCTGTAAGTTTTTTTTGTTATGTGTACATACGCAGAGATAAAATAGTTTGAGATTAAAAAGTCGGGTCCATTAAAAGTATGATAAAATACTAGCAATATAATAAAATTTCGGTATGGGAAGCTGGTTTCAATCTGACGCAGGTCGTGATCAATAAATTGTTTAATTAATGTGGTCAATAAGTTCGATCGCGGATGATCGTAAAAAGGCGTAGACTGAAAACTCATCATCACACACTCATTCAAGAGACATTCTTACGAGACGTATGAATCATTTCTACCGCCCTTATCGGCTTGCGATAACGCACGCTGTTTAGCAAGCGATACGCTACGTTGCCGTCGTTTTTAGTGCACGGAACTACCGAGTGTCCCAGAAAGTCTCTCTATGACGATAATACGATTCTATCATATCTATTTTCTCTCGGCGAACTCTTTCGTAAAATATTCAACATCAATCTTTCGACCTTAAAATAGTTTTTTTTAATTAACACATAAATGTAAAACAATGTTCACTTAAAATGAGCTGTTGCCGTCCCCGTTAATTTTATGAAAACTTAATTTCCCTAAAATTTTCTTCGTCCCTAATGTTTCAAGACACTGATGGTTGTACAATTAGAAAAGAACATTTATTTTAAACTCTGACAATATTACTTCACTATCATTACATAAGTTCCTGAAGCATTCCACACGCTGTAGATACCCAAGCGAGATTAACACACGGTAGATTCGAGCAGAACATTGCGGCAGGTTGACACCAACTAAGCTCATATTCTGTCAGCAAAGCGTATCTAAGATCGTCAGTAGTAACAGAGCAGAATTTGCCCTTTCGTAATCACTGAATAATATTCGAGTCTATTTATCCGGAAAATGGCAGATTCTAGTCGGCGCTCAGTTAATCCGTCTTCGCATTCTATTAGCAGAGCCTACATTTCTGCTATCATTAGCGACATTTGTTTACGACAGACCTGGCGTATGTGTTTTCAAAGTTCGTCGCTTTGCCGCAGGTTATCAACCTCATCATACTGATCCTGTACCGCACGGGATACGGTGGTGAGTTTCTAGGCGTGGGTGGAACTTGGAACCTGAACGAGGACAAGAATCCCGATGCCGAGATCGTCGCTTCCGGCGTATTCGTCGGATTCTTCATCTACACGAGCGTCGTCCTCGTCAGCTACTTTTTGGGGAATACCGAACACAAAAAGACTCTCGTTGTAAGTGTTTGCGCTTTTCATTTGACAGAATTGCGACGTACCTCGATTGAACAGTTCGCGTTAAACGTAGTGAAAGCGAAATAGTGTGTTGCATCACATTTCGCAAAGACGGCATTCGAGCTCAAAGCTTCAGTTTTAAGTGACATTTTTAATACGTGAAATTCATCAAAGGCAGCGTTCTTTCTCTAATTTATAGACCTTCCGATAAAAATCGAATTCTTTTCCGTATCCAAAAGCAGCGTTGCATCGTAAAATTGCGCGAAAGTTTGAACTTGAAAATTTTTTGAACAATCTATGTCGTCTTCTTTAAAGGAAATCATCATGAATTTCGTCGGAACGTTCATGTTTGTGGCTGTGGGTGGGACGGCACTACATTACTGGCATGGTTATCAACCTGAGCAGAAATTCATATATGACGCGCCAGAGAGGCAGGTAAGTCGAGTCTGGCAGGTGATTAAAAAACCACTAAAAAGTTGGAAACTATAGGCGTAAGTTTTCTCTCTAAAAGTCAATCTGTTTTCAGTGATAATTTCCACTGATTGACTTTTAGACAGTTCAGCCAGTTACAGCAAACTCTTTTTACCCATAACCATCTACTGGAAAAAGAAATTTACGAAGGTCCACTTTATAAAATACGTGTACAGGCCGTTACATTTTAATTTCTCCACTGAAATCGTCGATTAGCTGCGTCGCATTACACCGAGAAAATTTTATAATTTCAGGTCGGCCTGGCCCTGGGCTCGTTGTGCGTTTTGGAAGGCGCGGCGTACCTGATGGACTTAATATTAACTTTTCTCCATTTCGCTAAGGATGAATTTCAATAGAAGAGAAAGTATTGCGAGATAAACATCGTTTTAATAGCGACACTTACTTACGAAAAACTTCCGTTTCATTCCATCTACGTCAATTCATGCTACAACTAACAGTATATACCGAAAAGTGGAAGTTTCCTACTCTCTTGGAGTGAAAATGGAACCATGGAGTAAAATATTCGCTCTATTGGAGAAAATGTTCACTCTAATAGTGTTTGCTTCAATAGAATGTTTGCTTCAATAGAATGAATATCTTTTATGTTAAACTCTATTACGATTAGATTATGTCCGATGTCTCTGGGTATATTGTTAGCCACGTTTCCGCACGGAGGTTTCTCTCTTCGCAGAAAATGCAAGTAACCTTGTCCTTCTTTGTGGAGAGACAAAGTTTACTCATTGTACGTTTTTATACACATTCATTCGCACAGACGTACACTTCCCATTGAAAATACATGTAAACGTATACGGAATAAAGTTTATTTCAAAATTTGTAATAAAATGGCTTAGAACATACCTCGTGCAAACTTAAATCTTCGTTCTGGCATTCCTCGTTTCGCCGATGTCTTGTGAATAAGCATTAAAACAATTTTTTTGTAAGTACATCAGCATTTTTACCTTCGCATTGCGACGCCGATGAAAATGCACTTCTCCTTGATATATCTACGTCTTTCCGCGACTAACGACCGATAATACGTATCGGGCGATGATTATGCGCGTGTCTCCTTTACTTAACGAGGCTCAATGGAAACTAAAGAAATACGGAGAAAGAACGTAGACGTTATGACGAGAAATATGACTCACGCCCTTTTCGAAGCAAACGGCTCCGTGACGTTCCACCGGATGATTTCATCATGGGCCCTTTAAGATCCCGTCGTGCGCACCAATTAATCTACTTGACCTGGCGATCGTCGCGGATGACCGGCGCGATTACACACCCACCCACGAGTCGGGCACGTAATCACGTTAATTACGGAGGTCACGCCTAATTTGACTAAGTTATAAACCTAGCGTATAACGGAATAAAAATCCCCTGGGCAAGTATAAACTGCCCGCTGAGGTGGGGGCAAGAGGGGGGAAGGTACGTAAAATGGTCCCCTGGGTTTGAATATTTCTTCTTTTCCTGTATTCTTATTTTATGTTTCAAAAATGTATACAATTACCTCGAAAGTAACATCCTGGTGTAATTTACTAGCTCAAATTTGAAAAAGAATTATCTCTTTTCGTTTACAAATATTACGAAGAAAGAAGAGATTGTTTTAGAGAATTTTTTACATGCCGCGTCTCTGAAGCGAAAGATCAGAGAACGTTGCTTCATGAAATGACTTTAAAAATCAACCACGATATTAAACAATGGAGAGCATTCTGTGCAATACGAAATTTCTAATTCAATTTGTCAGAATTCTTCCGCCATCCTGCAAATCTTTCATCGCGATTTTTCGCTATCGGTGATTAAGTTAAACTATTTTTGTGGAAGAACGGTAGATGAAGAGTCCCTTATTACGAGATAAGCTGCTAATATGAGATAGCAGGGTTTCTGCTAAATTAAGAGACATCATCTGTTGATTCTGCCGTGAATATTGTCCTAGGAGCGAAATGAGTTTAGTGGAAAATTCATTGTTGGATGTGAACGTTGCGAAAAAAGACTTGTGATTGAATTTGGACGTCGAAAGCCTATTTCATATTAGAAGTATATCTCATAATAAGGGACTTTCCTCTATATGAATTCACATATTAGATAAAAATTATTGGGCTACCTACACCTTGCTCGGACCTGAAAATAGGCGTCCTCGGTTCTCGTTCGATTAAATTTTTTTCATTATTACAGACGCAATAAAAGACAATCGAATCTAAGACATATAAGCGTACGTCTATAGACGTCTGCCCTCTCTTCGGGCTCGCGTATCCCGTACCATCGCAGTTCTTGCGACTAAAGAACAAGTCAGTGTGATAAGAAAAAATAACATTATGCGTATTGTCGGCAGATAAATTGCTACCTAAGCGTTTCGTATAACTGTCGAAAAGTAACTGCATTTGCATACGCATCGTAAATGTTTCATTGAGGACGAGTTGACATAGATACCCATTAATCGCAATGTAAGTATGGAAAGTAAGAGATTGCAGCGAACTCGTCGTGCGACGTACGGATCGATACTACGACGATTCGTTTCTGGCAATGTTGGCTAAAGCGAGTATAGCTACAAGTTGAAGTCGTACACGCTCTTTGTAACCATTTCCTTATAGACAAACGCAAAACGGGCAGTCGGAAAAGAAGCCAATCTGCGAAAATGCGCAGTTCAATTCTAGACCGAGAGTGCCTCAATTTAAATTCACTCATTGAAACGGATAACTAATTCTAAATTTGAAACAAAGCTTCCTGTTGATCCAACTGGCAATATAATTTGATGCAAATGTAACATTTAATTAATTATATTGCCGGTTGGATCAACAGGAAGTTTTATTTCCATTTTATTCATCACCGGTGACTTTAAGTATACTCCTCTGCTGGTTAATTCCAAGTTGATTTCTAAATTAATGAAAACTTCGACACTCGTTAATTCGAATTAATTAAAGTCTCAAGTCGTCACCTAACCATAGTAACATTAAGGTTTTTCAAACACCGCGCGTTCCAAGTCGTATCTCGCACAAGATCCCATCATATAAAATGAAATACAAGGTAAAACATTGCGCGTATAACCAATATTGTTCATTGGCTCCTGCTGCATTCAACCGCGACGATTTGCAGCTCGAAGGTTTGGGGCAAATTTCCGATTGATCACGAGTGCGCATCCACGCGAATGTAACACCTGGTGTCCTTACATCATGCAAGATCCTAGATCCTATTTAGTTATCGCGCTCCGAATTAAGAGCCGTAATCGATCGCACTCCAGCAAAATGTTGTAGTAATCTGGAGTGCCTGGTAATCACGCGGGTTAAAAATAACCGCGTCGCCGTAATTACGCGAGGCGGTAATAAGTGCGCGTTCGCGTGTAATGCGATAGCGAGCCTTTTCGATACGCACGCCAGGCAGGCTGCCCGCGTGTCCTTGCACCGCTGCAACAACGTCAAAATAACATCGTGAAATAGGTTCGACCGCGTCGCCAGCGAATGAAGTCGCTCTCGCGGAAATTCATTGTGAATTTTATAGCTCCCGCCGCGCATTCGCGCTGTCGCGTGCAACTGGCTTCTCTCGATAGTAGGGTATGGTCAGTTGAAAAATAAACAGCAAGGCTAAGACCCGGTTTCACCGACGACGTCGTTCAACTTTAATCTCAGCTCCATTCATTCCTTATCTTCTTCTAAGAGGACAGTTAGAAAGAGACGAAGAACAGATTAAGTCAGGTTTCAAATTGGTGAGAGCTAAATCGTTAAAAATCAAAAGTCAACACAAAAAAGTATTTCAAAGACCGGAAGAAAAATGTTTAAACAACGAGCGATTTTGTTTCGCGCTCTGCTTCTTCGAGTCTGAAGCTCGTTTATATTTTGTTCAACATCAAATTGTTCAACTTTAATCTCAGCTCCATTCATTCCTTGTCTTCTTCTAAGAGGACAGCTAGAAAGAGACGAAGTACAAATTAAGTTAAGCTTCAAATTGGTGAAAGCTAAATCGTTAAAAATCAAAAGTCAACACAAAAAATATTTCGAAAACCGGAAGAAAAGTCCCGGGCTAGAAGACTGTTTAAACAACGAGCGATTTTGTTTCGCGCTCTGCTTCTTCCTGTCTGAGGCTCGTTGATATTTCGTTCAACATCAAATTGTTCGACTTTAATCTCACAACAGCTCCATTCATTCCTTGTCTTCTTCTAAGTAGACAATTAGAAAGAAACGAAGAATAAACTAAGTTAAGCTTCAAATCGGTGAAAGCTAAATTGTTAAAAATCAAAAGTCAACGCAAAAAATATTTCGAAGACCGGAAGAAAAGTATTTAAACAACGAGCGATTTTGCTTCGCGCTCTGCTTCTTCCAGCCCGAGGCTCGTTGATATTACGTTCAACATAAAATTGTCACGCGAATAAACAGTCCGGCGTGTTAGATTTCCACGTGTCCCTCTCCACGATTGAATCGCTTACAGGAAGCAGGAGCGATTCCTCAACGCACGTCTGACTTACGAAGCACTGCTGTTACGCACGTTCAATCGATGACGTAACAGGGGCGTGCGCGAGAAGAAAATACCTCGCGCGCGTCCGTGACACATTGACGCGGGAGAACGAATATTTAGAAGGACAAAAATGCGGCCGGAAACCCGTTGCGATGTCAAACGCTGCCACGCGTGAAAGAGCCCGACCTCCTCGCGTTTTCTCGCCGAATAACGTCCTAGAAAGGTGTAACATTTTTTTTTTTTTTCAAAAAGTGTCATCTTCCAACAAAGACACGGCATCGGTGAAGAGTCAAGAGAGGCGAGGGACATTTTCGCCGAAAGTCGCAGACGATCCTCGGAGGCCGCGCTGGTCGGTACCTAGAGACACCGAGACGAAACATCGATTCCATCGGCGCCGCAAGGCGCGCGCGACCTGCGCTCGCGTAAGCGTGAGACTTGGTAATGCCGTGCACCTCGCCTGCGCGCGGGGAGTCGCAAAGCCCGTAAAGTGTCGCGTACGTTCTCCGCCGTGCGTTCCAGTCCAAGCCGCACCGCCGTACGACGCGGCCACGTATACCACTCGACGGGCGCGTCACGACGCGCGACGACCCCGCGTGCGCGCGTTAAACTCTCGCGAGGAGTGCGAAGAGTGCCGTCATCGGGCTTGGGTTGTAAAAGATACACAAAAAAGAAAAGGAAGAGAAAAGAACGCGATCCCCGACTTCGTTTTCGCGAGCTCGTCGTGTTCTCCGCGCGAGGCGAACTCGTGAGCGGAGTCGAAGTGAAATCGCGAGAGGCTGGCGAGGCGATAGGAGGCACACGTGGACGGGCGCGTGTCAGGTGAATCAATGGACGCGCAGTATTTGTTATTCAGCGTGTGCCGTCCGAGGCCTATTTAGATACAACGAGTTCTCTGCCGGCGGAGGCCGCGACTCGTGACGTAACTCCGCATTCGTCCCAGTATATATAAAAAAAAATATAGACGAGTGGAGTATCCATTTTCCGAAGTTATGAAACGCGTCGAGAGGCTGCATTGATGTTCTTTGTTCTTCTGTAAAGAGAATCGCGGTTAATTTAAAGAGGATTCCTTGCTCTCTAAAATTTTTGGAGTGAAAATACTGCGATGGAGTGAAACGCTCACCCGATTGGAGTGAATATTTATTCCAACAGGGTGAACATCCACTCCAATAGAGTGAACATTTCGCTCCATGGCGGTATGTTTGCTTCAAAAATTTTAGAGAGTTAGGAATCCTCTTTGAAGTAACCATGGAGTGAAATGTTCACTC